TTATTTCCATTTATTTTATGAGTGCTTCATGAATTTGTAGAAGTAAATGGTTCTTTTTTTCTTTATTTAAACTTACTATTTTTTAAATCAAAATTTTAGGTAATATTTTAACTTTGATATTCTTTTCTTTTTTATATTTTTAGGTGGGGTGAGCGATAACTTACGTCCACTTGGTGCACTCTGGGCAACGTATACTCATACGGTAAAAAAGTCTGTTAAACGACAGTCGACTCCTGACTTCAAACTACCATGGCCGACTGCATGTCATATTCGACCCCTTCCACAGTACTTATCTTACCTATTCTCTGCCTTTGTATCTGTTTGTCTCCTTTAAATCTGTGAATCATTATTCTGTCCTCCTCTCTTCTTTTAGTCACTTTGCTGTTTCACATCCTCTCTATGAAGCCCGAATTCAGCTAAATGGCCAATGATAACTATCAAAACGTCTACCATTTGAAACAAATAAATAAATATAAATAGTATCTTTAGGGCTGATTGAAAGTTTTTTCCAATGTCATTATGAATTGTGTATTTTGTTCAGATATGATTTTGTATTTCTTTATTTGTTCATAGAATTAATTTTTGATCTGTTTTATTATTTACTTTTACTTTTTTTTACTTTAAGTTACTCCTTTACCACTATTTTATAATTAGGGTATTTGTATTATTTTATTTATATAGATAGTTGAATTTTTGTATAGATTTTCGGAGTTGTGTAGTGACTAATTCTAATTAGTTAATTGGTACAATTGTAATGTAGTTTAATTAAATATTTGTTATATATTTGTGGGTTGTTTATACCTCTTGGTTGTTTTGTACATATACTGAAAAGTTAGCTTTTCTGATATAAATAGGTTAAGTTTAGATGTCAAGTATTATTTTTATTAATTTCATCCATTAAACTGTTAGAATCTTATTTTTTAATTTTCGTTCGTATCAGCAGTGCTTTATCTCTTTCTCGTTACTTTAAGAAGAGTGTCTGGAATTGGGCGGTTTATTAGTTCTTAATTAAATTTCTTTTATAGTATTTTTAATTATTAGAATGTGATTAGATGCTGGGCTCGGTAAACGTTTTATCCTTCTCTATCCTCTTCTTTAGGGAGTTAATTTTCTTATGTATCTAGAATTTTTAGTTCAGTAAACTTTATTTTTGCTTTGCATCCTATTTGTGTGGATGTGAAATATTATGATGGCCCTTGTTTACTTCTCTTCTTTTATTATTTAGTTCTGCCTTTTATTCTGATAAGTTTGGTCCTAAAAGTGACGAGGAGGAATTGGAGAATTTAGTGAAGTGGAGGTGAAATTGGAGTTGAAATGGGCACGGAAGGATTTGTGGGAAGTGGTGCAGTACATGCTATGAGTAGTGCTCACTTGAGGTACGTGAGGATGATTGAATTAGGGTTGGCAAATATTTTGTCCATCTTTTGCTGGTTAAGCACTTTTTTAATTTATGTGAAATATAAGATTATTTCTATTGGTATGTATTTTAGCAACTATATTATTTTATTCAGCGGAGATGAGTATTTTTGGATTCAGTCATGTTGCTATATTTGGTAGACTAATATTTCCTTTTTTACTTTGAAATTTGTTATAATGGTACTTTTATCTAATCCTTACCTTATTACCTTATTTGGCGTGTTCTATACTGTTAGAAACAAGTTTAGTTGCAACTTCATATCATCATTTCACATGGTGAATTTAATTTTGACTATGAAACTAGGCTCTTCATTTGTTCTCTTACAATTATTTGAGTTTGATGAAGTAATGAATAGAAGTTATGATCCAATCTTTCATACTAGTGGTTTCGCTTTTGTTTGTCTACATTTTGGACATGTGTCATTAGAGATTTAATTTGCGAATTAATAGTTGGTTTCGATATTATTTTTTTATTATCGAAGTTCAAGAACTGTTTGATATAGACACTTTGTCTATTATGTGTATGTCTATTGTGCATAATCATCGTATATTTTCTTTTACTCCTAATAGGTTATTTAAGCTGACGAATTGTAATTTTATTGACTACTACCGGTTTCGTCTCAAACTACTTGATCTTCCTATAAATTAACCTTTAAATTATTTATGATTTCTATATTTATGGTAATATAAATTTTAACTGGTGTGATATTATGACTCAGATTTTCTTTGGTAATGAATTTATCCAAAGATTTATTTCACACTTGGTGTTTACGCTATTGACATATTTGAGGTGCAAAAATCTATTTTAATTTTTTCTGCTTTCTCTAAGGGGTTTGTCTGAAAAGTAGGCTTTATTTTGAACTTACTTTTAATGGGTGTAACCTTTATGGGTTATATTCTACCATGACATCAACTGTCATCTTGATCTGCTAATATGCAAAATTTTACCCATTTTTGGTATACTGTTTGTGGGTTTTCTAATAGTGGTACTACTTTGTTTCGTATATTTTCCGTTCATATCTTATTGAGATTTTTAATATTAGGCTTCACAATTTTACTCCTATTTTATTTATCTAAGAGTGGTAGCAATAAACCTCTCTTTTCTAGTTCTTCTTTCTCTGACTTCTTTCCTATTTTAGAATAAAGGATTTTAAGAGCTTCACATTTTTATTTCTAGTATTTATGATATCATTTAGTAGTCTGGATGCATTATTTGATATTGAAGCATGTATAAAGGGCAGACTCAATGAATACGCCATTGCCTATAAAGATTGAGTGCCACTTTTCAACCACCTCTGCTATTTTACGTGGAATTAACTCTAAGATGGGTGGATTAGCCTTAAGAGCTTCTTTTTTTATTTTTACAAGTACCAGCTTTTAACGATTCCAGTAGTTACATGGTAAGTCGTCAATTAGTATTTTATTAATAGGGTCAGTATATACTGTTCTTTGCCATGTTTATGAGGTTTTGTTTGCCATGTTTTTAGGCAATAAATGGAAATTTTAATGTTTTTATTGAAGTCATTTTGATTGCTATACTACATTCGTTAAATGCCAACAATTTTTTACTTTATTTATAGAGATTTTATTAAGTTTATTTCTNCAGTATATACTGTTCTTTGCCATGTTTATGAGGTTTTGTTTGCCATGTTTTTAGGCAATAAATGGAAATTTTAATGTTTTTATTGAAGTCATTTTGATTGCTATACTACATTCGTTAAATGCCAACAATTTTTTACTTTATTTATAGAGATTTTATTAAGTTTATTTCTATCCATAAGTCAAATTGGAAAATTTCTATGTATTACTGCTAGCACCGTGTTTATTATGTGGCCTGCATTTTTGACATGATTTTTATTGTACTAATTATTATTTCAACTGTCGAAATAAATGTTGCATTAGTTACATAAACTTTAGTTGGAAAATGTTTAAGTTCTATATTATTAATTTCTACTTAATTTTATTAGTAACATTATTAGGTTTGTGGGGACATGTCATCGCTTAACGCGACTTCTCATGCATGCACGCCAGGATCGGGAGGTACGGCCGTACAACTCTCTGTGCAGACAACCGCCCAACAAGTGGCCAATCAGACGTCTCTGTTTGTTTAACCTAATCCGCCAACCTGATCATGATTAAGCTCACTGAGTGTACACTATACTCACGTTATACTTACAGAATAAACCTGTTCCGCGCTATACGCCTGTCTCCTCTATGGCAGGGCTATAGCTTAGCCAGTTCCGGGAGTCTAACTAGATGTAGGAGAATCTACCAAAGAGATGTCTGAGTCAGTCAGGCTTTACTAGTGTAGCAACCCTCTACAAATTGGTGACCCAGGCGTGATTTGGTCATTCAAAGCATATTGCCTCACTCGGGAGTGGAGTGCTGCCTGGTCAATTGGCGGTAAGAGGGCGCCAAGGTCTTCGTTAGTGGTTGCTATGACTGGCATTCTTGCAAGGAACCGCCCTGCTCCATACTTCACATCAACCTCAAGCCTGTCTCCTCCAAGGAGACACTAACAATCGTTCTTTGCCGCTGTCGTAACCCTTGGTTCTTCCATCAGCGCAACTGTGCGACTGAGCAAGTTGTCGACATGAAAGGCTGTCTGATCACCACGAAGACACACCGTTCCAATCAAAAGATGCGAGGTTATGAGACTGGCTAGCAGTGCTTCACCAGTGTTGGTCTCCCCTCGGAATCACAGTGTATTGATTTTGGTTGTTTTCTTTTGTCTATGATTTGTACAATATCGTCGAGAAGGCAGCCAATATCAACGATATTTGCATTGAGCATCGCTATCAACTAGCTAGCCCCCAACCCAATATCTTCACGATGCTTCACATGGCAATAATGT